ACTAGTTGTCGAATTCAATTGTATATTTTCATTGGCAATATTTAATTTATTATAGTAAACAGTTCCAAAAATTGACAATCACTATAAAAGAATGTAATTTAGAGTTCTTATTCTATATCGTTGTAATAAAATTATTACAAGAAATCATTTAAATATTATACAAAAATATATTCCAAAAAATTGCATATTCAGAGGCAATATTAATATATCAATTAAAAAACTAGTTTAATTTATGTGTAATTTCCATATAAAAAATTTTTATAGAAATTTAATTACAATTTTTTAAAGAGCTCCCACTTAAATGACTCAATTACAAAAGACCTTGAAAATGTAAAATTTCAGAAGATAATTAAGAAAAACAAGAAAAAAAACTTAATATATAGAAAATATTCAAACACACTACACAGATCTCTTAAACCAATTCATGATTTTAATTGAAAATGATAACAAAATGAGAAAACCTTTTGAGACCCCATAAAAAAAAAAAAAAAACACAATTCGTAATAGATAGTAAACATTCGCACGTGTCCAATCGCTAGATAAAATATATAAATCTAATTATCTCATACTAATTTTCTATATAGAAGACAAGGTAATCAACAATAAATGTCTTAGAAAAAATAAAGACATATACAAGTCCTTTAAATAAAAATTTCATCTTCCCAAATAGAATTTATTGCAAAAAATGAAGAAAAAGAAAAAACAAAATTCTATGATAATCCCACAAAAATAAAAAGAAAATTTTAAAAGATTTTCTTGAAATAAAATTTTCTTCCTTATACTGGTACAAGTATGGTATGGTTTAGTATATACGGAAGGAAATTTTTGTGACGGAACACACACACACACAACACTTAATGCAAAATAAAAAAAAATTTTTTTATTACAATCACATTTTCCATTTTGAGGTAAAAAGTCAATCTCAAAAAAAAAAAGGAAAATTTTTCCCATTTTTCCTATTTTCAATTTTTTCTTTCTCATCCGAAAAATTAGATTAACGCTTTTGCCTATGTTGTCGGGGACAAGAAATGATATTGCAAAATTAAAAATGACTTCCGTTTTTTTTTTTTTTTTTTTTTGGGTTGGGAAAATTGGACGAATAGTCTCAACCATTAAATTAAATTTTTTGTTAACATCAACAAGTTTTGAATATTCTTTCTTCATTTTTATTTCTTTTTCTGGATTCAACCACAATTTACACACATAATATATTTACAGTTTGGATAAATATGTTAATATATTTGTATTATATACAATAACAGATGGATTGGGCGATAAGAGATCTCCCAGTAAGATATTGTGAATAAAGGATATAAAATTTTCCTATCAAAGTAATTTATAAAAATATTAAGTACGCTATTTTAATTCTGTGATAAATATACGAACAGCTTAGATAACAACGGCCCACACTAATTTACTAAGTTGTTTATTATATAACAGTATCTTAACTCGAATTAATAATGGATCGAATTACTGAAATTGTTTAAGTTGTATGACCACTAATCCGAGTTTTATCGTCATTATTTTGAATAAAGAGTTGACGAGAGTTGTCTAAATTGTAAATTTTTAGATTATTGAAAATAAATATGGACAAAGTAATTCCTCCTCTCCAATCAGCTATAGCTTGTTGTAACAAGAGCATTATAACGCCAGTCTCAAACAAATACCCAGATGTATCCTTTAGGGTGTTGAACGAGAGCCCCCAATACTGAGAAAATTCTGCCCAAAGCATCTGCACCTCCTGACGACCATACAAAAGAAAAGTCAAACAGAATATGTATGGCAATTTTTTCATCGTCCCGACAGAATCTACACGATCTATTAGATCCAGAATTCAATGTTGATGTATTTATATTTAATATATGTAAAAATATTACTGGCACTATTTTCTTTTTCTTTTCCCCCACTGAATTTGGACATGTTTTTTTCTGGTATAATTTTCTGACATAATTTTGTGGCTCAAGTCAAAATATTTTTTTTGTTTTTGTATTACAAATATCTGGCATTACTTTTGTCTGTAAAACTAAACTTGTTTCTTAGTATGACAAGGTATAAATTAGATAAATTCATCTTATATTCGCGTAGATCTGCGGTGTTGCGAAAAAATTTGAAAATTTCCCATTAAATACAATAAGATCCTTAATTCAAATACACTAAATCAAGATATCCGAAATTTTATTTTAGAAGAATAATCTTCTCATTCTTAGCTTTAGTGTAAAATTTTTCGAAAGTGAACCATTTCTTTTGATTACTACCAAAAATTTTAATCTACAATCCATATTCCATAAGAATTTCTGCAGAGATGGTGTCATTGTAATTGTACAGAAAATTCTTGTACAATAACAATGACACAAAAGGCTGATTGGGTAAGTTTTCATATGTAATACTTACATAGATCCTTGAATTTAGATTTTATTATCACATTATTGTTGTTTGGTATATCAACTTTATCCAATTTTCCTGTAATGTTTTCATTTTCTTTTTCTTATTCATTTCCCTATTTTTTGTTTAATTTTCTCACTTTCTAAGAAGATGAAAAAACTGTATAGATTTTTTTGTTTATGAAGCGTTTTCTGTTTATTTTGTTGTTGTTCTCGTAACAATAATCACCTTTTTCCATCTTTTGCTCAAATTATAATTTAAGCAAAAGTTAAAGATCATCACTTTTCTATCCAAATGATTTAAATGATTTCATTTGTTTTTCTCTTGGTTCTCATAACTAATGGGGATTTCATATTCTTATATAAACCTTAATAGCAATTATATAAAAGGTTTGCTAAAAAGGATTTACTATAATAGAACTGTAATGAAAAAATTAAAATTATAAAAAAAAAACGCAAAAATTTCGGATTAGAATGTAAAATTCATACTGAAATATAAAATGTGAACAAGGAAATGAGAAGTAGACAACGTCAAAATTTTCATTTTTAGATTTATAAGGTAAGTTATTTTCTATTAAATTGAAAAATAATAAAAAAAAAACTCAATGGAATCCCGATTGCACTCAAATTAATAGAAAAATTTGCATTTAATTGAAAACTTAAAGGATTAAATTAAATTAAATTAATTTTTTCTTTCCAAAATTTCAGCGAACTTAACTTAGCGAATATAAGATTAGCCAATATAATTTTTATTTGAATATAAATATTATAAATGTTTACCCCTAAAAGTATGCAATGTATTCGTAAGGTAAATACGAAACAAAAGTATGCAATGCATTTGTAATGTAAGTGCAATGTAAGTATGCAAAAATCATAGATAGCATGTTTTCAAGTCAACTCTCAGTATAGGATACATGAGGGCTTTACTAATATAACCATCGTCGAGTAATGAATTGCAAAAATATTGAGCGTAAAATATTAATCAATGTAAACCTATTCAAATATGATAATCTAAACAGTAAAAGCAGAAAATTAAATGTAAAATTTTATTGAAAAATACAAAAAAAATTTTTGAAGCAAAATATACATTTAATTTTCATTTAAACCCCATAAGGAACTCAAAATTTCAATAGTACAAAATGTTGCAAACCAAATACCATAATTTCGAATCCTTAACTTTAAAACATTTTGGAAATTATGAAAATGAAAGGAAACACAAACCATCCACACAAAAATCTATTATTAATAATAATTGAAAAATTTTCTGCATCTGTGGTAGCTAATCTAAAATCAAATGAAAAATAAAAAGAAAAAGATAAAATAAAAAATAATTTATCACAAAATTTAGTTCACACAATTTACTTACATTTTAATGCAATTTCATTTTCCAAATTCGTATTTTACCTCTTTATTATTTCCGACTTATCCTTCCTATCCAAAATAATTACAATATAAATTCAAATGAACTGAAAATTTATACACTCTATAAGAAAACACCAATACTACTCTACATATACGAGTAGATATATAAATATAGTAGTGGTAATAAAAATAGAAATTTATAATTATTTGCTTAACACAATATTTCTACAACAGAGGGGAAAACAATTTTCACTGTAAATAATTCAAAATTTCTGTTAATGGTTTAATACAAGAGCATCGTTGAAAACTTAAAGAGAAGAGAGTGGGTTGAGAATGAGACAGAGAGAGGCAGAGGAAGACAGAGTGAATTTATTAACACGAAAACAGCAAATTATACTTAATATCCTTTAAGAGAATTTATAGAAGGTGTTATAGGTACCATAGATCCGGTTAATTTTTTATCAATGATAATAAATATTAGATTGTGTTATAATTATTATAAAAATAATATAACAAAAATTATGATAAGGCGGTAATTTGTATATTTTGTTGAATGTTATTAAAATTAGATTCTTTAATAAATTTAAAAATATTTTCATTTTAAGAGGAAATTAAATTATTATTTGGAATTCTGATAAAATCTGTTATAAAATTGGAGTGATAAAATTTTGAATATGCCACACAAATTAAATTATACAGTTAAATAATTTTGAAAATTTTTGAAAATTTTATTTATAAAAAAACTAAAAAATTGGTAAGGATTCAACCATTCTATACTCTTATAATTTAAAGTTTTCGAATTATTATTAAAAATAATCGAAATTTTAAAATATTTACACTTGTCCGCTCTATAATAGGAGAAGTCTAGTCTGTTATTTTCATCAATGAGAGAGAAGATTCGAAATAGGCAAATTTTAAATATAAACAATATTTCACAAAGAAAATACCAAGCTCTGTAAATTACTGTAAAATTTTTTTCGTTTGGCAACATATCATTATTGTATTTTAATTTGCATAATTTTAGGAGGAGTTTGTTTGAATTTTAGAGTTTCCATACTTTTAGGAGAAACTCTATGGCGATTAACTTCGACAACTATGTAGTTTAATATCATTTGGCATTAAAATTAGAGGCGTTTTACATTTTCATAATTTTTACTATTCGGAAAATATTCAAAATGGCCGGTTATACTCGTAAGCTGTTAACACTCCTTTACAAAGCATAAAATAGTCTCAAAAAATGAAAAAAATAAATTTTTTAATATTATCAATTTTTTCACAAAAAAAAAATTTTTCTTTTTTTTTTTTTACTTTACAATTCTTCAGAATATTCTTTAATCATTTCATCAACATAATGATTCCATCTTGCTTCCCACATTGTTTCAGCACTATACAAATCCATATCTTTTAATGTACTATATTTTAATGAATTTATTGCTAATTTTTTTAAAAATCTTAAATCACTATGTGCCGATGATAGACCCATAAATGCAATATAAAAATCATGTGATAATGGTTTTGCATTCCAAAATGATGGATCATCTGATGATACAACAACTGGATAATTATCAGAAAATAAATGTGATGCTGGATGATTACGATTATCATTTACTAATTTTAATACTTGATTTGATATTGCATTTATTTCAATTGCAATATCACGTTTTTTAATTTCTTCCATTACTTTTGGATGTTTTAATATTGCATAACCATGACCGATACGTTTTGTACCCAATAATATTGCATCAATTAAATTTTCATCAGTATCCATACCATTCCAATTTGTTTCACCAGCATGAAAAAAGAAATCAATATCTAAATTACTTTGTTGTAAATCCAATAATGATTGTATATAATCTTTAAGTGGATTGCCTAAATCCTCTTGGGCAACCAAATCAAAACCAGCAATAAAATTTGGAAATTTTTCCTAAAAATAGAATATATATATATACATTATCATGTTAGTATTTATTATAATACATACTTATAATATTATATTGAGTCTTATATAAAACTGGATGATGAAAATAAAAATAAATAAAATATTATTATGTACAAAAATAGTGATATTGAATGGTGATAGCATTATAGATGAAGGAGAAAATATATATAAATCCAAGATAATCCTGATGAATATTGAAAAAGTAATAAATTATATTGAGAGGGTATTTTTCCATATATAATATTTTGTGCACATGCAGAATAGTGTTCAAGAGCAAATTCAAAAAATATTTATATTAAAAAATTCCCTATAAGATTTTAGTGTGATCGTTTCACTTGACATTAACACTCTCGGTGGTATTTAGGGAAAATAATATATCAAAGTAGTTCTAATTACTAGGCCTATCTAAAACTTATGCTTAAAGCTGAATGCAGCAATTCTTGCTAAAATGAATATGTATTCAAAAATACTGTTGATTTATTGATTTATTGTGGAACTAGCAGAATTCTTGTAATATTTTGAAGTATTCAGCTAAATCAACACCATTTTAACATTGATAATGTACCAGCACTGTAATGTTACCATATTAGAATATTAATTTGGCATAAAATACCTAAATTGATTATTTAATACTATGGTTCAAATTAATAAAATAATAAAACTGAAGTACAACTCGATCATCAAATTGCTTAATACTTAATTAGATTGCTGAATTATATTTTGAGTGGTAATTTCTAAATTCATAGTGCTTTGAGGGCCTTGTGCTTATTATGTAGGGTAACCTTATACGGAGTTTCGGGTTATAGTAATGTCAAGGGGAACGAGGTGGTAGACAAACTGCCGAGATTGAGGACAGCGGCCGAAACTGCGGCAATGGACTAGATGGTCGATATCAAAACATCGGAGTGGTGGAGGATTTGTATCGTGTGTTATGTTGGTGGCCCGCTCAGATGCAGAGAAGGGAACGCTTTTTGGGAGGATATCGGTTCGCCGGATCGAATATTACTAAAATTTGAATATTATATGCGATTCGAGATTATTATTTTTAAATACTGAATTTTTGTAATAATTACTGGATAGGTTCTTATTTTCCAATTATAGATACCAACTTAAATGTTACTTAAATATTATAAATTTTACACAATTCAGCTTAGTAGCGTTAGTTGCTGAATTATATAGAAACACATTATCTTTAACTGGAATCAACTTTAATACTAGAAATTCACAGCAAATTATTGTTATAATTTATTAACATTACATTATTGAATTATGTACTTATCGGTTTCGAAATTTTGCTCATTTAGTAATGTTCTAATTTGGTCAGTCGATAATAGAGGCATTCGAAATGTAGATATGCAGAGGAATGTTCAAAATATTATGGATTGAAAATGTATCCAATAATGAGGTTGTGCGAAGACTTACATCAAATTGGCGGGTACCAACGAACATTAAGCACAGAAAAATAGCGTACTTTGGAACTATAATGTGGGGCATGAAATATGAACTTCTACAACTCGTAGTGGAAAAAATCGAAAATAAAAAAGGAATTGGTAGAAAATAGATGTCATGGCTGCGCAACATCAGGTCTTGAACGGGTAAATCAAATTTCGGTGACTTGGTGCATTTAGCAATTGACCGAGTGGAATACAAAAATATGGTAACCAGCGTATTATGAAAACAGATATTATAACCGCTAACATCAAGTAATGGATAGGCAGTACAAGAAGAAGAAGAAGAAGAAGAATATTTTCATTACTTTCTAAGACGGACACTAGCATAACATATGACCTACTTACAACTCGTTAAAATTTAAGGCATTACAACTATTTCAATATTAATTTATACTATAATATTGCCAAATATTTATTTTGCATATATGTAGAGGAATATCTGAAAGTCCAAAATAAATAAAGTTATTTCTTCTGTAACCACAATTTTTTTTTTACCTTGGAAATTTTAATTTTTTTGACAAATCCTAAATAAACGGATTTAGAATGTGACAAAATACAATAATAGCCAGAAAATTCAGCATAAATGTGGTATTTGATTGTTAGTTTGATTTTATTTAATAATAGGATGAAAAAAAAAATGTTGGTTTTATTCGCCAAAAATAAAATTCAGTACCAATTTTACGTTTCTTAATGGTTATTTTTTCAAAATTTTGTTTTAGGATTTTAATAAACCTATACACATATGAATGAATATACTGTATAATATACAAACTTGTATACATATAAAAATGATAATATAACAATTGAATACTCGTAGAGAACACCTACACTGTTTTAATATAGAGAAATGATATGTGATTTTTGATTTTTTCTAAAAATAAAATAAAAAATATTTAATAATAATATACATGAAAATTAAATCAAGGATATGATTGAATAGAATCTTTTTTCTATATAGCGTAACAGGTACAATTATTGACACTCTAAAAATTCAATAGAATTATTGACACCACGCGCATTGGCTTTTCGTTTATTTATAGGGCTTTTCGAGTATTTCAAATTATTAATCAGAACAATATTAATTATGGATTCTAATTATTTGATATTTTCTTCATTCTTTGTTTATTATATAATAAATTTAAATTAATTGGTAGGCCTTTAAATTTTAAAAAATAAAAAAAGGAATATTACAGAATTTATTTAAGGCAAAAAATAGTGAAAATCATTAAGAACTTCAACAAGTATCTTTAGAAATATTTGAGGCCCATGCCTCATATTTTTATTCAAATTGTTGAATTTTTTGAATAAATAAATTTCCAATTTTATACTTATGAGGTAAAAATTAAAAAAAATTATTAAATAGTTATAAAATGGGGGTGTCAATAATTGGTGGAATTTTTAATGAATTCCTGTTATTGAAATGGGGTGTCAATTCCTTTATATTAGGATAATGTACAATCATTGACACCAGAAAAAAAGTTTGCATATTTTGCAAATATTTTAAAAGTTAACTTCGTAAAGGAAAGAGCTACTAACGCTGACACGCTTCTTTAGTAAATTAAAATATATAATTGTTAAAAATTGTAATAACCCCAATATTTGAGAACATATAGAGCACATGCATGCATAATCGTATTTTATAGTTTGTTCAAAATTTCGCCCGTAATAGGGTTTTGCAAGAATTTATGTAAGAATTACTTGTTATACATATAGCCATTATTTAGTAATTATGTAGTAGTATGTTTGATCTTATATCGGTGATTACATAGCAACTTTTGGGTCAGGGCATTTAAAATTAAATTCTCATTCCACATTTTCTTTTTGTGAATTGAGTTTTGGAAAATTTTGGAAAAAAAGTCTTACATATGCGTAAAATTATTATATCACTTCCATACAGATAAAAATAATGTTGCATACCTTCTTGTCCTAGTTGTATAAAATAGCTACAAACGAGCGAATTAGTTTTCAAATGTGATATTTTTTATATTCTCATAAAAATATGTTAATAATTGTACATTTATAAGATGTCAGTAACTATATTTGGGTGTCAATAATTGTACCATTAAGCCACGTCATTAGTTGTAATAGGGTGTCAATAATTGCACTTTTAAAATTTAATTTTTAATATTTGATAAATTTTGGCATATAATTTTGAAAGAGAAATATTCAATTTATATTTTACCATTGCCCAAATTTTTATAATTCTGTATAGAAAAGTTTTATGAGAAATACCGTTTAAGAGTGCCAATAATTGTACCCGGTACATTAAAACACTCAAAAATCAAAAAATAAAAAAAAATCTGTGTTATCCCCGCATAGCTACGAGTAGATATATCGAAATTATTGGAAAAAATTTTTCTAAAAACAGATTTTTGCTTTTGTTTTTTTAAATTAAAAATAAATATTCAATTTAGAATCAAAAAAAAAATTTTATATATTGTGGGTAATAGAATATAGAATATGGAAAATATAAATAAATAAAAATAAAAAATATTTTCAATAATAAATTTCTCAGTCGTATTCATTGACCCATTTTCCGAAAAAACAAAAAAAATTCATAGAAATTTGTGTTTGTGAGTAACAACACTGTCTAATTTGAGTTTGGTAAAATTTTGTTTTTTCTAAATTAGAATTTTTTATAGTCTAGTTTATTTACTGTTGAATTCTAGTTAGTGATCCTTAAAAATTTCCGAAAATTTTGAACAATACTGTAAGTGCAATTAAAACTTTTATCAAAAATTAAAATATTTATTCCGAAACTGAGCCTCACAATTTTTTTCTGAAAATTCATTTGAATTTAAATTTATTTTTATAATTTTATCTTAATCTTAGCAAGACTGGATGCTAATTTAGTTACAAATTGCAAGAATCTACTTTTCTTTTTTATTAAAATTAAATTTTGAACTCAACTATAAAAATATTTTTTTAAGACTTTGACAGTTTTCCCTTTAAACCACAGAAACCAAATCTAATGTTGAAATATAAATTTCTTACTGAATTTTAAGCCCTATGCAAAATCACAATATGAAAATATTAAAATTTCTTTTGAATTTCAAAATTAAAATTGAATTTCCTTTGGAAATCTCTTTTAAATTTTCCTTACAAATAACCTTTAAATCTTAATAATTATTTCTCTTACCTTAAATTTCTTAACTGATTCCATATAATTATTAAATGTTTCATTATCAACACGACGATATGGTGCAAATATAAATTTAGCTCCACTAAAATCAGGATAATCCAATTTAAAACGTTCCAATGTTTTATTATAAATTTCCAATGTATTCATTTGATCATGTTCATTACCATCTAAATCATAAAGCTATAATGAAATTTTTTTTAAACAATAATTCTTAATAATAACAAAAAAAATGCAGTCAAAATATGAATAATTGACAATGAATGATTAAAATTAGCACCTCTAAAAGTAGATAATTTCAATTAATTTTTGGTTTTCTTCTTTATATTGAATTTCTTTTTTTTCTGAATCATCAATAATCGAATCACTAATTCAAGGATATTTTTTTTATTATAATTAAATTTAATCATAAAATATTAATAAAATTTTAAGTCAGTCATTCCCTTAAATTATTGTAAGTCTAATCTCACATAACAATAATCTCAACAGATACATGTTTCAATAATTTTCGGAGTAATTTGAAACATGAAAACTAAATGAGACGAAAACTCATTCACAAGAGTATCCGAACTACTATTTTCATGTTTTTCATATTTTAAATGGTTGGGAAATTTAAATTAATTATTTTTGGCGAGATATCAGTCTGTCCATCTTTCGGTCTGTATGTGAATTCGTATATCATAATTAAATACGAGTTAAGCTAAACCATTTTTTGTTAAAATATATATCTGAACTAGCTTTGATTGTCACTCATTAATTAAATTTTGTCATATATCAGAATCAATTATTTCATACAGGTTTGGAAAATATTATACACAGGTTTGAAAATATGAAAGCAAAATATTTAAAATTTGGCAGTAGTTTTCAGATATTTTAAAAATTTATTATAGCATTTTAATATATAAAATGAAAATAATAACGAAATTGAATGCATAGAAAATAAAAACTTTAAAAAATTGAGTAAATTCTTGAATTAAAAGAATATACATTTGTTAAGGATATGACATTGCCTTTGCAATTCTAAGCAATTATGCAGGCTTCCTTCACGCTCATCTGTTATTCGGTAATTAATTAAAAATTTTCAATTATAAATTCATTCTTTTATTGCTCGTCCTTTTGAGATTCACTATTCTCTTATTAAAATTCACTAATTATTAAAAAATCTGCGAAATTTTCCTTCGAAATCATATAAAATTTAAAATTCAATATCAATTTTAAAATTATCTTCTTTTAGAAATAAAATATTTAAAAAATGCAAAAACTAATTATAAATTAATTAAAAATATTTTATATATAAAACATACCTTCGGTAATAAACCTCTAAATTCAATATATTGTACATTATCATTATAAAATTCCAATAATGATGTATAAAAATAATCTTCCCATACTGGTTCATATAAAACAATACCATCAAGTGTTAAAAATATATTCATAAATTTTTGCCATACATCATTAATATCCTTATAATCAGTAGCCGGATTATCAGTAAATAATGTAAAATGTTTATATAGAAAATCATTAAATATTTTTGGATCATAATTCTTTTTAATATCATTTAATAATTTCCAATCATTAAAATTATCCAATTTTTTTGGTTTTTCTTTTGAAAATAAAAATCGAATATGTTTTATATCTGATATTGATGTTACTGTTTCTGTTACAGTATCTGTTACAGTGTCTGTTACTATTTCTGGTGTTGCTGTTGTTGTTGTTTCAATATCATCTTCATCAATTTTCTTATCATCTTCAATATTAATTCCATCAAGAATTGTTGTTGTTGTTGTATTATCACAATACCATAATATATCTGAATAATTATTATTATTTAATATATTATTAATAACATAATCAATGCTAGCCATTGCTGTATCATGTGCATGTAAAACAGCACCTTTTGGCATTTTTTCAATAATATGAAATAATGTTGAATTTGTTATATTATTAACAACTTCAAAAAAATGTCTTGATGCCTTAAATTCATATGGATTTTTAAAACCATCATTAAATTCTTTTTCTTTTAATTTCATTATTATTTCATTTAATTTGATTTCATTATCATTTAATATTAAATCATTACCTAAATAACGTAATGATTCATTATTTAAAAATTCTTCACGTTGTTTAAAATAATCATCGATATTTGTTATTTTTAATATTGTTGTACTATTATCATTATTATTTTCATTATTATCATTATTATTATCATTATTAATATTATTATTTGTATTTTCTGAATATCTTGTTATTGTAATTGGTGTACTTGTATATGATCTTGGATGACCAATAACTAATTGATTTATTAACAAATTAATTAATAAATATATTATTAAAAATATATAACTACCTGTATTAATTTTATTGCCCATATTAATTATTATTCAATGCATTTATTTTTTTTCAAATTAATAATTTTTATATTTTATTTTGCTTTTTATAAAAATATAAAATTACAATTTTTTATTTTCGTATTTTTTATTTCGTATTAAATAAATTAATTAATTTTTATTTAAATTGTTATTTTAAATTTTAATTATGTTTTAAATCACTAATATCGTTTTTTTTTTTATTTAATAAATATTAATGTTAAAATTACATTTTATGGATAATTCCAAAGGATATGGTAATGTAGGTAGGATATATATGTAGAATGTAAAAAATCTGAAATGTAAAAATAAAATTTAAAAATTTAAAATATAAAAATATTTATTTGGTAATTTTAATTTAATTTAAATGGAATTAAGTTACATTACACTTGCTTTAGTTTTGAAAAAGTGGTAGAGAATAGTGTCTTTGGGGCGAATTACTACTCAAATTAAAATAAATTAGACAATCAACTTGATAGGTTCAAAATGTTCTCCTGAGCTTAAAATAATATGATTTTTGTCATTCTTATTGCAAAAATTCTATTGGTTCTCATTTACTAATTCTATTTTGTACTAATTTTTTATGTTTTTTTTGTAAAAAAATTCGAGTTTTTTACATTTTTGAAATGCAGTACAGAGTTCTTTGCGTTTTTCATGCAAAATATAAGTTTTTGACATTTTTCAGGTAAAATATAAAGTTGTTTACGTTTTTCATGTAAGATATATGGTTGTTGACATTTCTCATACAAAATACATAATTGTTTACGTTTTTCATATAAGATACAGGATTGTTTACATTTTTCAAGCAAAATACACAGTTGTTTACGTTTTTCATGCAAAATATAGAGTTGTTTACGTTTTTAGTGTAAGATACAGGGCTGTTTTCGTTTTCAAGCAAAATACAGAGCTGTTTACGTTTTTCCAGCAAAATACAGAGTTTTTTACGTTTTTTATGCAAAATAGAAAGTTCTTTACGTTTTTCATGTAAGATACAGAATTGTTTATGTTTTCCATGTAAAACACAGCGTTTTTTACATTTTTCATGTAAAATACAGATTCTAAATTTTCTTAAGAAAACATAAGGAACATTATTTATATATATTATTATTAATATTTTTAATAATATTATTTCCGAAAAAGGCAAATTTTTTTAGTTTTTCGCGGAAAATGTCTAAGTCTTAAAACTAAATACAAATATTCAGTTAACAATAATATTAATTTTAATTACACAACCATTTAAAATTTTAATACACAACATTATATTATACCTTATAAAATTAAATCAAAAATTTATTATATTTCATTACAATTTTATTAACACTTACAAATGTTACATTATGCACTACATAAATTTTAACACATTCTATATAACAACGCTAATTGCTGAAATGCATTCTCAATATATTGACTAAATTGTAAAGTCAGTATTTAAATACTGCACTTTGTAATATTAAGTTCGTAAATATGCTGTAGAGATTTTAAAATTAATTTAGTTGAAAATATTAAACAAGATATATTTATATGAGCTCATAGTATATGTAGGTTTCTTAATCGGATTAAAATGCCGTCATAAGATATTTTGTTACTAGAATAATTAAAATGCCTAATGAACTATGAAATATTCATATAGGAAATAACTTTATGATAAATGTATTCCAAGTGGATCTATTTTTAATAAATGAATGCACTTCTTTCTAAATTTAGTTTTAGTCTTCGAATTTACTTAAGGATTTTAAAGGTTTTCAAAACTGTAACATTATTAAATTTGTTGTTCTTTAATTTATTCTGCTACCATTATTGGCCTTTCATTAAATTAATAAGTTCATTATTAGTTGTCACTATTGTTCATTATTGAAATTCATAATAATTGAAATTCCGCTTAAATTCAAATTTTTTTGGGCAAAATGCTTTGAGAATTGAATAAATTTGTTTGAATGCATTTTCAGTATTTAATTGTATCATGATGACAATTAAACAATCATGTGTTTGTTACGCCAAATTATTCTAGACTGTTATATACCAAATTCTGTGCAATAAAAACTAACCTGTGATGCTATCTATACTTAATTAAATTTGTATAATAACTCTTTTTAGCTACTACTAGGGTGTTGTGTCATAGTTGGGAATCTTGTATATATATTGTAAGTTATACTGAATTATAACATAAACCTAACCTTATTTACAATGACCCTGACTTTAATAGGTTCTAAAATTATTCTAAGTGTGCACTCAAAATGATGCAATAAAAAATCTAATAAAATAATAAGAACTAGAATGTTATCTAATATGACCGACCATAGCGCGTTTATTATCAAATTAATATTGAACAGCTAAGTAAATATAATTGAATACGATTGAATACAATATGATTTTTTTTCCATTTTAATTAATATTTTTCAGTGATTTCAAGTGTTTTCTCACAAATATACAAAATTATCTTATCATTTTTCAAGAAGTTCATTGAAATTTTTATTTATTTTATTTATGTATGGTGATAAATTAAAATTTTCTTTTTTAAAAACACTTATAAATAAATTTATAAATAAATAATTTGGAAAGTATGTGTTTTTTTTTCTTTATTTTTAAATTAAATAAATAAATAAATGGAAACTTTAAAAATTTATTGATATTCATAATAATTGAATATTTTTAGCCTATAAATTAATAACATGTTCAAAAACTATTGTGAATTATGTTAGGAAACTTTGAATCTTAGCGCACAATTTTGAATTATTACGGTATCTAATTACAAAATTATTATATAAATGTTGGGATTTATTAAAAGAAACTAAAAAAAAAAATAAGTACCTAGGTAACGGCTACGACTTCTTGGAGAAAGTAAACTATTGATCTACAAAAAAAAAAAAAATATTAGAAGATTACATGCATTCGACAATGGAGTTGCGTTCTGATCGGCCCACAAGTTGTTCAATTTCATCAGGCTCTAGAAAGTGTCATAGGAGAATACCTTAGCGTTGCATGTACGAGGGGGTGCAATAGAGATCTGAATTACCAGATGATTTACACTTTATCTTCAATTCGAATTATAGAGCAAGTGTGATGGAAAAATCATTGCCCGGAAATCAGTATTGCTGTAGTTTGCATGTAGCTTACAGTGTATGAAGTATTTTTAAAAAAAAATATTATAAATTTTTAGAACCAGCATTTTTTTTGTGTACCGTTACTATAGAACCAGTGTCTCCGACAGAACTGCTCTTTGCTATACAGAAATATTTAATGTGAGCAATTGTTTTGAATCCAAAATTTATTTTTTTTTTTCAAAAACCGAAATTCTGTAATTGTGGAACGGTATACCTTGGGTATTTTGGCTCAAATTTTTTTACATGAATTTTAGTTATATTGAGTAATATTTAATTTTTGATACATTATATTATTTTCTCAATTATTTATTTACAGTTTTCTTATCTGGGTTAAATTGATCAAATTTACCTCTCGGGTGGCCCAAGTCTCCGATCCATTCGGAAAACATGCGAATTTGATTTTCTGAAAACGAATTTGCTGATCATACAAAAATGATCAACATATAAAAGGTTTAAATTTTGCATTTTAAATGGTAATAACAAAATCTTTGGTTGTGGCTCTTTTCCGTTTTAAAATAATTTAAGATAATAGAGAAAACTGCAAAAACAAAATATGTGGTCCACGATCACTATACACTTACTTTAGTTTAGTTAATTTTTTTTTTCTTTAAAGTGCCTCACAGTTATAAATAAAATCAACTTATCTTTACATTATGAATTAAAATTATAGTTTAAAATCACTGCAAAACTATGAAAACTATAAATTTTTTGTTATTCACAAGTTGTAGCAATTACCTCACGATAGTATTGTACAATAGTCCCCTTTTACAACTCTGATATTCCACTAATTTCGATCTGATTCAATACTCAAACTCAGTAAAAATCAAACTAACTCAAAAAATTGTAAAACACTCAATTTATTGAAATAAAATAAGCATTTAAAAAAAAATTTTTAATATTTATAATGACAGTATTGATTTGAACAATCTCTTGAACAATGTACTTAACTATAATTGATTATTATTTCAAAAGCAATAATTGATTAATTTTGATTTCAAATTAAAATACTTTATTTTCAACATCTTTTAATTAAAATTTAATTCTGGCACTTTAATACTAATTATTTTAACAATATTATATTCACATATCGCATCCAAAGATAAAACAAATCAAAGATCTGAAATGGGACTGCTTAATGTAAATATAAACTAAATTAATTCAGAAATTGGGTATAGAGCCAAATTCAACTGAGTTAAATAAATTAAAGTAATCTATGTTCTAAAGTGTAATCTACAATATAATTTATGAGTAAAAATAATTTATGATTTATGGAATTTAATGGAATCAAATAATTAATGACTGAATTAAGCAATATTAAAGAAAAAGTAAAGTTTTTACATTATTTAATTAATTTAAAGTAGACTGAAACGGAAATAATTAATATAACAATTCTCAATTACCAACATTTAAAGGTATGAGACCGCGGTAAAGTACAAATTTTATGTAAAATCCAATTGGATATTTTTAGTAATTATTCAAAATTTTATTTACTTATTCCAGAATCTTATTTAAAATTTTAACTCCATCACGATTTTAATGATTCGAACAATGCAATCTTAATTTCTGAATGATCTAGAACTTGTTTATTTACCCTAACTGTTCACAATAAATTCCTGATAAAACCCGATTATATTTTAATGCCAATTATTAATCCATATCATTATCACTTAAAATTGTGAAAATCATCACAAATTATGTTTTCTGTTATATAACATAATGAAAATAAAGTGATAAGTGACACGCACTTTTACAATGTTTTATTATGACGTTATACTGTTATTTTGCTCAACATACTTATCTTTAATAAATTTATATTATAATTAAAGAAAAAAAATATTTCACACTTTTATTTTTAAACACTTACAACAATGGATAATTATTATTAATTAAATATTGATTTTAATTAATGACCATTTACAAAAAAAAAAATAAAATAAATTTAAAAATGATATTTTCAACTTTATGGCTTCACAATCAGAGACTGACAATAGCGTATAAAAGAGGCTTGTCTATATCAACAAAAAAAAAACTGCAAAATCGAACTAAAAATTGCGATTAATCTATTAAAATCAGCTGTTTAAGTTTATAAATATCTGGGATTGAACAAATTTATATAATTGTTATGGAACGATGAATAGTAAAAGAAAGACCGTGTAGCTAAGCAAATCTGTGGTGTTCTAAATTTGACGTACGA